TAAATATAACATCACGCCTGTATTTTTCAGAAGGAGTAGGCATAGGTGTGTAGTACTGTTATGTTATACGTCCCATGTAATAGGAACTGCGCGTATTGCCAAACACCGGACACAAATCCAGAGCCCGTGCTACTACTGGGAACTTCAAGTTATTAAAACCCAAAAATAATTTGCCCGACCCTGGGATCGAACCCAGAACAGAACAGTTTTTCTGTCTGTCACAAGGAACAGATGTTTCAACTATGCAAAAGTATTTATTGAATCGTTTGAAATATAGCTAGTTCTTGAATAAGTCCGATTCGAGAGGTTTTTGTATCAACATCGGACAAGGATTCTTCAGATCTATATCGATCTGGAAAATCGATTATTTTACTATCAACAATCGATTAAACGATTTCAAATTGACATGCCTACTTTGTACTGTCATCTCTCATTCTGTCAAAATTACATTGGTTGGCGTCGTTTGCAATTGTAATCGTCTTTGTAATTGTATCGGTATTGTGGTGACTTTCGTAGCTATATATTGAACATTACAACTTGGCTATTTTAACGGACTCCGATTGCTTTCAAGAATGACTTACCTTGCTGTGATTTTTGGAACTGTGTACCGCTCAAACGATAACCTAGCATTCATAAACGGACTTACGCATACGCAATGGAAAGTGTATTTTGCGTAAATTGCGGCTCTGGTGGTGGTACAATATTGTTGAAAGATGAATAGAGAAGCAATCGTGCAATATTGCTGTAATTGCATCGTTGTACGCAGAACCATCGGTTGCTGCGCCCATGTTGGGACCATTATTTGGTACTTAAGCTTTACGAGACATCAAAATAATATCGACATACCTGCACAGTTTTTAGACAATATTTTAATTTCCAATTTAGAAGATGAACAATAAACATGAAATTAATCTGTGTTTAATTTCTAATTCAAACATAATAAGTTAATGTAGGTGTAGAAACAACTTATACTACCAATTAGGTACTAAGTCGGTAACGCTGGTTTCATAGTCACGCGTTTGAACAGCGTCGTCCAGACGCACATGCTTGCAAATGCACTAGATAGTAGTCGATAATATTCACGCTGTTCACGCGCGCGCTGTTGAAACTTAGTTGAAACCATGGTTGATACGCTCGCTGTTCGTCGGCATGTGTAGCGGCGTGACTGATAGCCTAAATCCTTATACATTTAGGTACCAGGTATCTTACCGTACCGTATATGCTAATGACAACATCTAAATGCTAAAAGCCATTATAAACATACATTTTTATTTTTACATTAATACACACAAATCTTATCTCTCATTTCAAAACCAATGTTCATAAAGCAAGTTTGTCAACTAGATTCTATGCATTTATACGTTGCACTTACATACAATTAGGCTTTATAACAAAAACTGCATACCTAATTATGTAGATAGGTAATAAAAATGGCTAAATGTTTTAGGACATCGTTTTTCAGTTTGTTAAAAATCACTCAGATCTATGAAAATCCGTAATATTCGTGGTTCGATTATAACCTCAAAATCTGATACTTTTTTGAAATATATCTATTATGCAGCTAGTCCGCTATAAAAATAAGATCAAAAAGGAATTTACTAACGATCAACAATAAAATACATAATTTTCCGATGCTCTTGGTTCCAGTGCAAACAATGTATGGGTGCAGAGCAATGTCCTTTCAATGCACCTTTTTCTATAAAATCAAGGTAAAGCCATTTTAGCGACCTTATGTTTATTAAAAACCCAAGTAGCGCTAGTTTTCTAGGCGAATAAATTATTAAGGAACCATTTTCAAATTTAAGGTTGCAAAAGTAATCATATATTTCGTCAAACTTGTTAAAAATGTCATCTCTATTTTTGTAAAGGGGTTTTTATAGCCATAATTCATAAAAAATTCTTGAATTAAATATGTCAAATAAGCCATTAACGTGTGTCATAGATATAACAGTAGCCTTCGAATTCTGGAATTGTGGTAATTTTAAAATCTGCTCACAATACTCTATTGCTGTTGCTACTGAACGTGATAGTAACTGTGATGCTAGTTTAACCTTCGTTTTCTGTTTAACGTAATTGATATGACGGAAGGTTGATTTGTTCGCTAAGTGAAGGCCTATTTCTTTCTATAATTGGTAAAGAGCTTCTATGTAACCAAAATCATTTTTTTTAACCGATTCATCGATGAGGACTTTTTTTTCGGCGAAAAAGTTGCGAATCATTTTTAATAAATGACATGCATCTAAAAATACAAAATATTTTCGACCTTTATGAACAAAATGTGATTTAAAATTAGATCCAAAAGAAAAAGCTGGGCCATGTTTAGATTTGAAGCAATGCCATCATGTGTAATGGAAATGACTTTCACATTCCGTAAGGTGTAATAAATTCAGACATATTTTTAAGATTTGCTTTTTGTGAGGCCGTAAATCCCCTACACGGAAAGTATCCTACTGGAATTTTCCAAAACGCATTTAATGCCACCACCATAAAAACTAAAACCTGTTAACCTGGTAACCTGTTCAGCACCATCCATAGCCAAATCGTTGCCAAAATTTACAAATCAATCATGCTTCTGGCCTACCCATTCAGTATATTCACATATACTCACTTCATCAAAAGTGAGACATAGTTTTAGATCAGGCTTCTTTTTTCTCATTTCTCTAATGGTGTTTAAAGATTCTTGAGTGGAACCAGGTCCACAGTCTAGTCTGGCATACCAGGTACACAATGTGTTAACGTGTGGAAGACACAAATTAAATTTTTCACATAAATAATTATATGCTCTTATACTATATAAATGTATTGTGACAGCAAATTTTCGTAATTCTTTGTAATATTTGGATGCAGACACTATTTTACCATATTTTTTATCATTAACCCTGTTAATTAAATTCTGTATCAATTCATTGCTACATGCCATGGTGATATCGCTATAGTGATCTTTCAATCCTGTTCTTGAATAAATTTCTTCAAGCACGTTTTGCAATATAACAATTTTTTTAGCTTGTCTTTTAGTTTTTGCTGCTAAGCTACTAAAAGCTTTTTTTCTTATTGTAAATTGATCACTTCTTTCTTGTGATTTCAAAAGTGGAGGGGTTATGTCACTAGTGACATATGATGAGGCTACTCTTTTTTTCATCTGTCCCTAAAAAATATAAAATCGTAATAAATTTATTATCATTTTAGCTGCATGAATTTTAAAAACATAATGATCTTAACATAGACAAGTCCAATATGCAGCAGACACTAAAGTGACCACACATGGACCGACCGCAGCAAGTGCATCTTAATCTTGCAGATCTATTGATCTACGCAACTGTTGCTTAACTAAGAGTTCCTCTTCTCTATGACTAACGCAGTAGCTAATGAACCATGCTATCAAGCCCTCGGCACACTGTCATCGAGCATCAAGCATGAATCGGACGTCAAGCGTTGCGCGTATCAATACTATGGAATTTATACTACCCTGGTACACTAAACCGCGCGCCTCAAGGCATCTAGTGGCGCTTCAGGAGCATTACTCAATAACCATACCTAACTACGCTAAAAGTTTTGTTATTGTGACTTAGGAATAAATTCCAAAGCTCCGCACAATCCCTCGGAGAAAATATATAATTATAGAGATAGAGTTTTATAATGTATAAAAATCTTATCTTTATTTTTTTTCTAATGTTTTTGTAGTTAAATTTTTGAACTCTTATTGTAACAAAAGTATACTTACTGATACAAATAATTTAGGAATGGCTCCTTTTAATAAAGTTGTTTTCACTCTGCTTTTTCTTATATATTTCTCAATAAAATGTTTACTACAAACTATAGAGTTCATCTTAGGAGTCCAACCAACCCGCCCAAATAATGCCAACCATTTTTTTCTAACTAAAGGATCCAGAGAGAATCTGTTTGACAAACGGCAAAATAAAATTTTGTTTCTAGAACGCAAATCGAGCATTTAATTTCGTTCTTCTTTTCGTTGTGTAGAAAAGTCTATCGATTCTTTATACACATTAAAGATAAATGTCGACATTAATTTTGATATAGCTGAGTCAATCCCTAGCGTACATGTAAAATATTTTGTTTAAAAATTAATTCACCAAAATCATACAAATTATCAACAATATGGCTTTTTTTCTTTGCAAAATATCAAAATTAATAAAATAATTGAAAATATTATATATTTTAAACACGTATTATTATTGACGACGTCTTACGAATTTACCTGTGAAATATGCAACCATCAGGATTACTTCTATTGTTGATACCACAGTCACTAACGGAACATGTAACCATTTTTGAAAACTATAAATTATACAAATTAACACTATTACAATCTAAAAACACACAAAATATCTACAAGCTTATTTCTTGCGTGCCGAATTGTGCAGATCTGTCATTCAAAATCGGTTACAGAGTCATGAGATTTGGTATCCTTTTCTATCTTGCATTTTTGCCATAAGGAATTTTCTTCTCCCTTGCACACTATGTTGGTCTATACGCCAGTATATTATCCTAAGTCTATGGTTAGAACCCAGAGCTACAAAGCCAGTTTAAAAAAAAATTCTAAGTCTATGACCCATAGATATTTATTTATCTATGGCCTAGGCTAGAAGTATAGCCGTAAAAAACGTAAACACAAAGTGACATATTAATTAAAAATAAACACGCATTTTATGTAATAAATGTCATTAATTAACCATTTATAATATGTGGTAAACTATGCTTAAATTTCTCTATTTGCTGCCTGTTGTATTCTGCATAAATCACCTTCATAAGTGAACAGTTTGTTCGGCCGGCAGTTTCGTTTCTGTTACTGAATTTCGTGTGGTTTAGTCGATCATTTTGACCTTGTTAGTAGTTTAGTGAAGTTTTGATGAAGATTGATTGAGCACGCCTGAAGCCTTTGCCAAGTATTATTTAATATATTTTTTTCATAACCTTACTAATATATTTTCTAATAGGTAACAAAATATTTTTGATTTTAGAATTCAATAGTAATAATCAGAATGGTTGAACAAATTGTTGAGTACCTCGCTAATAGCCTAAGCACATTGACTATATTGTCATGTTTATTTTTAAAAGTGCCTCAAATCATATACATCAGGCAGAAGCAGTCCGCTGAGAGCATATATATTCAAGCAATGCTAATGGAAATTATAGGGTACGTAAAGAATTTACTATATAACTGGTTCAATTTTGTTATCTTATTTTTATATTATGCTAGACTTAACATGTTAATTAAAGCGCTGGTCAAAATTGACCGTAAACATTTTAAAATGCTGGAACTGAATTTTTTTTTTTATTATTATAAGGCAGTGCTTACTACAGTCTCACCTGATGGTAAATGGTGATGCAGCCAAAAATTGTAAAGCGCATTGACTTAACCAAGCTAAACAAAAGCCCGTTAGTTAAGGTTTAGAATCAATTTGCCTTAATAGGTGAGTACCGGAAAGGCTCGCTCGCTCACTTGAACCCGCCATCCTCTTATAACATAACCTGTCTGAGTTGGGCTGCCCCAAGATCTGAGCTCGCTTTGCTTGCTCTTGCACCAAATAAAACACCAAAATGTTAACTTTATAATTACTTTAATAAGTAAACATATTTAATTACTTCCACCATTTCCAAATTGCATCTTTATTATATTTCATAATGTTCCGCCTCCACAAGTACTCCACTATCGCATCACCAAAATTCTCTGGATTATTGTAATTATCTTTTTTTTAAATGGAATGATGCTTATGATGCGAGTTGTGAAGTCGGGTATATCTGGAACTGTCAATGTCAACTTAAAAAAGCAAGAATTTTGAGTAATTTAAGTTCTGTTTCAGGTATTGATTAGTGATTTATGAATGTATTTAGAAAATCATTTCAAATATTTCAATGCAGCTCTGCCAGCTAAAATTGCATTGGGGCGCTTGAGATAAGCCCCCTTGACTAACAAGTTATTACTAGTTTATTTAATTAACATGAAATAAAATATTAATATTCACTTATAACTAAGATTTAAAAAAAAATAAAAGACGATGAGTTTCTTGGCAGTTCTTTTTGGAGGTCTAATTTTCAGAACCGATGTCACATTCATAAGTTTTAAACAAACCAAAATTATTTATATAGGTAATAGTAAATTTATGTAGTTTTGACTATGACTGAAAAATCGCTTATCCTAATCCACCAGATTGGTAAGATTATAGATTTTTCAGTCATGGAGATGATTATGAAAAATTCTTCATATCCAACAATACACTTAATAATCAGATAAAGATAAAGTTCATATTAAAATGGTTCTTATACATTATTAACATATAAATATTATAATATGTGTAAACTTGTGTAAATAAAAGATATATTTATTATACTATTATATAATAAATATATTTTGTTTACACAAGAAATTCAGGTATGAAAATAATTGTATGCTTTTGGTTTTCAGATTCTCTATTGTGACACTTTATAATTTCACTAACGGTTATAGTATAATGACATATTTGGAATATCCAATAATTTTATTGCAAGTTTATGTCTTACTTTATTATGTTCTGAAATACCAAAGATTGTTGTATAGGCCTATTGTAGCATTTGCTATCATAATGTACTTTGCATCAGTAATGGGATTTGCTCTCGGCTTTTTCTCAAGAAATCTTTTGTCTTACATGGTGGTAAGTGCTAATTTTGTAAAACATTCATCTACACATCTATATATCCATAAATATAAAAAATTGATTTGTAATTCTGTAACTGTCTTCTGTTAAGGACAAGGGTTATCAGCATGCTATTAAGACATTCATAACAATTTTTAAAAGTTTGTCTGTGTGCCTGTTAGGGCTAATCTTCAAAATGGCTTAAATAATTGTGATGAAACTAATATAGAGAGTTATTCTTGTATCAAAAAGCTGATTAAACAAATGGTTTTTAAAAATTACCTCATTAACTATAAGAGGTGGTGGATTAGACTGACAGCACGATGCAGGTTGCAACGTGGGCAAATGAAGGTGCACGACATAACTGTGTGCATTCACAGAATGGGCTTCACTCAAATAATTGTCTGTCCAGTGGTTGTTAACCATGAACAAAGAGGATGACTTTTATTGAAAAATACTTACTTAATATGGTAAAACCTAGAAGTGAAAAATAGAATTAGAAATTAACATGGAAATCTACATGTTTTATAAAACACTAATAATGAAACCCACAAGAGATTTTGTTTTCATATATAAGAATGTTATGTTTGGTTTTGTATTGTAGATGTTTGGAGATCCAAATTTGAAACTTAGAGATTACTTTTTAGTATAGGTGTACCTAATTCTTGGCAAGGAATGCTAATTTTGCACAGCATAAACTTGATCAATTCTTATATATTTAAAATTAGTGACATTATCTTGATTAATAGTTATTAGATTTACTTGCTTATACAAGGGACTCCTATTATTTAACTGATGTTCTGTCCATTTTCCCTATTGATTACAGTATCATAATTTTTATATAGGTACTGAATTAGATACGCTGATAACGATAGACTGATATGCTTTCATACATTCTTGGGCCCAGATTGTAAAAAGATGAATGTCGTGTCAATTAATAGCTTATATATTATCAAAACAAAACTGAAAGTTCTACAGACTTTGGCAATCTGAGAGCAGAGTTATAAGAGATTTAGTAAAAATGCGGTTATGCAACAAGTTGGCAACAACATATACTAAACAGCTGATGTTTGCAGAGCGATTGCTATTTTGGAAGGATTGTGCGTGTATTACAGTGACTAGTCAGTATGCCACAATTCACACAGCAATCCATTGAGTCAATATCTAATCGATAAAATGCAGGCGGTAAAATCCACAATAATGAGCCAAAGTTAAACAAGTAAACGAGATAATCGGTGTTCGGTATGATAGCAAAAGTCTTACAAGTAAGATCAGAAGTCCGTAGAAATAAAGCAGTGGTCGAGAAAAATAAATCAATAAAATAATGGAAAACACATTAAAAACACACAGCTACTAAACAATATGAGATATATACAGTAATCTATGGATAAGAGATGAGTGATCATAGATTGAGTCAGGCAGAAGGTGTCACTATCAGCTCAGATTAAAAATACAGTTGACAAATAAAAGTAATAAATCGAACTTTAAAGGTGAATCAATTTTAAGATTTATTATTATGTTGATATTTTATTATGATTAAAGTAATCAATTTCTTATTTTATTCCTGACATAAACTTATTTTTAAGATTTCTCATCTTCCAGATTGTGTATTGGGCAAATTTTTTATATTTTGAAATAGAAAAATACAACGCTATTTTAAACCTATATTCAACTTATTACAATTGGGCCCAGAAATCCCTGTCTCCTTTAAAAGTACATTCTGTCTTTGGTCTCACCTGTTTTAAAACAATTTCTCATTTTACCTTACCTTATGCCCCAACACACACACATACACATGGTCAATTTTTTTTTATATTAATTTCAGCCATTTTGCACACCTCTCAGTGGATTTGCTAAAGTTACATACATTTATGGAATCATTAAAGCTGGTAATGCTGATGCAGTGTCATTGACTACGTGGATTATTTCAGTTTCCACAAATATGTGTAAGTAATTATATAAATTATATGTATTTCCTTATACTTAGTATAAACAGTATTTATGAAATTTAAGTGACAAATGGACATAGAATCAAGCTGATAGTAAGTGGCTACTGCAACCTATGTCTAGCAGCTGCTGCCAACTATCACACCGAGGACCAAGATGAAATGCCTCGTAGGCTGTAAATATACTGTCTCTCGGTACCTTTCAGACTGAATCACAGCAGTGAAGGCGCTGCTGCTTGACACATAAGGAGTCCTACTGCCTAGGAAACTACCAAAACATCCTGTTGTTAACATGCATTTTAATATGCACACACCGTGCACTTGAAAAAGATGCTACTGCCTATGTGATTAGAAATTACATGCATCCTTATATTCAAATATAATTTTCTATAAGAAAGGGTTTTGGTATAATCATCGATATGTACATACTACGCACTAGATTTCGGATTCCGAACATTCACTGTGTTCAATTGAACTGTACTGTAATCCTTACACCTTACTTTAGTGTCATTTAGTGTGGATTCAATATTCATTCAGTGTGGAGCGGCGCTACTAATACGAGATTTCAAATTAAAGTTTAAACCTGAATGTAAATAACAATTCAGTAGTCAATTAAGTAAAATTATTTCCTGTTCAAGTGAATAAATCGGTAATAATATCGTAATATTACAATAGAAAAAAAATATTTAAATTCCACGCTATCTATAATCTTAGACTAAAACATTCAGATGTTCCATTACAAAACCGAATGTAGGTAAAATATGTATATGTACATACACAGGGTATTTATGGAACGCTCCCGAAAATTAATACAGACGACAGTACGAAGTACACCTTTGATGATGGGTGGAATATAAAATCGATCCTGATGAATGAAAAATCATCTTTTCACAACGTTTTATTAGCTTTATTCATTCTCCATCATGTTAGTACAGCTAAATAAAACGATAATTTCATAAAAAAAAATCATGAAAATACTGAAATATAAAACCAGCAGTGGAATTACTGAATTCATATCAGCTGATTAAAGGTCAATGTAAGCGCAAACGCTGAAAAAAGAACGCTGCCTTGAACCTGGGCACTGAGCGATTTATGCGTGAGTGGTAAGAAGGGGGCGCAACGGGGGAACAATCCGCCAGTATTACTGTGGCCGCACGCTATTGGTACCCGCGCTTTGTTCGCTTCCAAAATACAGTCGCATACACAGCTTACTTTGCGACTTGCGACGATGGTTTTAAAAAGGAAGGAAAGAAAAATTATTTATATCTATTGTTTTATGACTGAACTAGTGAACGAAAAGGTAAATATGATAGGAGAAGGTAAATGGGGAAAATTGTGTAGTAAAGTTAAAAGTGTTGAGGAAGAATACCGAAAAAATTACCATGTGACCGACCTGATGACGGAAGCTAAAGCGAAGATGAAAGTGATGATGAAGTAGCATCCAGTAACACCAACACACCATCAACTTCTGGCTTCCATGTGACCCAAGACGACATAATGGACTTCGTGTCACCCTTAGCTTAAGTTTTCTTGTTACAAACTAGTTTATATTTTACGATAGAAATAACAAATAACGCTCAAGTAAACATTATCCATTTTTAATTCCTACCTCTTCCAAAGTTCTAAGTAGCTAGTAAAACACCTATTATGACTCTACAATAAAACAATTAATTACTATAATATTATAAAACAATAGCCCAATACCATGTAGTACTTTAGAACGCGACTGTACCCACACTCCCTCCACTGTCGACCTGTATCTAGCTCGGTGCGAAACAATGCTGCCGTCGTAAGAAAAAAGGGCGCATCTAACAATTTTTGAATAAATGAGTTAAATATACCATTCGACTTATGATAAGGAGGCGCATCTACTAAATTTTTTTAATATTCAAAAATATCAATATTTTAGAAAATATCGTAAGAAATTTAGACGTAACTGTTGATCACAGATGACATTTTTTTAGTAGAAAATATTTATACAAATTCAAAATAAAAGAAAAGACTTATTTAACCAGTTGCTACGTCATCTTTAACAATATTTGCATCGATTACTTAAATTTCGATTATTCTTGTCTTATTATTCTATATCTTATTATTAAGCTGGTGTTTCACATGTGGTCCCGTATAAATTTGTTCGAGGTCAGACCAATAGTTTTTGAGTTATCCTTAATTATTTACATTGAAGTCGGTTGTACAAAATTTTTAATTATTATTGTAGTAAGTCTTGTAACCCCTTTAAAATCATTACTCAAGAGTTGCGGGTTGTTATTTTTTGTGTCTCACTACCAATGCTTTTCTAATATTTACTAATAAAAAAAGTAGTAAATTACTATTAGCGTCCTTTCAACTTCAAATGACCTTTCCAAAATATGTAAAAATGTTAAATGTATGACAGTTTTTTTATTTATTAGGTTGGAAAGACGCAAATGGTTATATGCGTCTTTCATTCGATGTTTTTGTGTTGCCAGGTGTATTTTTTAAGCTAAGATGAAAAGGAAAATTCGTGTTATTTAAATAAATAAACAAATTATCAAAAAAATAAGTTCGTCTTTAAAATCTTCATGTCTCTACGTATATTTCAATTTTCATATTGATAGCTTATAATATACTTTAGACACAGCAGGGTCTGAAAGAAAAATTCATCTATTTATTTTTTATTTCCATTTTACGTTTTTGTTAGTTGCGTCCTTTTTCTGCCGACTTCCAAAAAGGAGCCGGTACTCAATTCGACTGTATGTTTTTTTTTTCGTTTTTTTTTTATGTGTGTTACCTCAGAACTTTTTTCTGGGTGAACCGATTTCGATGATTCTTTTTTTATTTGAAAGCTGGTACTTCTCGTGTGGTCCCATATGAATTTGATCAAGGTCAGACCAATAGTTTTTAAGTTATTCTTAAATAACTTATATTGAAGTCGGCTGTACAAAATTTTTAATTTTAAATTATTATTATGACGGCAGAAGGCCTAACCCGGCTGGCTGTTGTCGCCTCACGCTGTGACACAGTAGGTTTCAGTCCTGGCGGGGGTCGTTCGTTTTAGTTTTTGAGACAGTTCCGTGTTGATTTTGTACACGCGTGCACGAACGACAGTTCAATCGTTTTGTTTATTAAATTGTTATTGTTATTATTATTACTTGTGATTACGTGTTGGTATTATTCTTGTTGTTACTTTTTTTTTTGATTCTTTTTTGTTTTAATAATGCCTAACGCGTACGTTTCTAGTGATCGTTAATACGGCAACATGTTAGGTATCCGAACCTAGGTACACGAAGTATCGCTAAATAAATTGTTAAGACGTCGGGATGGAACAAGTGTGTCATACTGTGCAGTGCACAAAGTGTTGAAGCGTAACCGAATGCGCCCATACAAAGTGCAAGCTTTAGTTCCCGGCGATCACGACCGCCGACGAGTTTTCTGCCGTTGGTTATTAGACCAGCAACAACGTGTGCCTAGTTCCATTGAGCACATTATCTGGACGGATGAGTCGACATTTACCAGAAACGGCCTGTGGAACCGAAGAAATACACACGTGTATTCAGAGGTTAACCCGCACGCTGTTCGACAAACCGGGCACCAAATCCGATGGTCGTTTAACGTATGGGCAGGTTTATTTAAGGATCGCACACTGGGACCAGTGTTTCTGCCACATCGACTGAACGGACAGCGATACCTAAACTTTATAAATAAACAGTTGATTGACATTTTAGACGACCTATCGTTGGCTGAATATCGCCGCACATGATTCCAGCATGATGGTACACCTCCACATGTCGTGAGGTTCGTCCGTGAGCGCCTCACCGATTTATTTGATGATCGCTGGATTTGGCGGACTAGGACCACACGCTTGGCCACCTCGCTCACCAGATCTGACCCCGTTAGACTTCTTTCTGTGGGGTATGTGAAAGAAAGGGTTTTTAATCGTGAGTGTGCTAGTGCTGACGAAACTACAAAAGGATCGTGGATGTTTTCGACAAACTACGTACGGACTGTGTCGAAGACCACACAATGATGCCCCGCCTCCATGAGGAGACGCAACACCGAGCCCAAATCTGCCTTGAAATGAATGGAGCACAATTTGAGCCGCATCTCATAAGACCACGGAGGATTTAGAGCGGTAGGCTGTTTCATAACTAATTTTTTTAAATAACTTAGTACTGAACTAATCTGAATAGGTACATAACTGAATACATGAGAATAATAAACATACCTACACGATGAATAAAAACGCATGACTTGGTTACATTTCATTTAAGTATTTTTTCATTAGCGGGAAATGGAACGAGTTATTTGGGTTATTTAACCTGTAAATTCGGATTAAAGTGGCTACGTGGAGACAAGTACAGTGGCAAAATAGTAGGTTAAGTAGATAAGTTAGGTATTTAGACAAGTGTTGTAAATTATTAGGTATTGTGGTATGGCCAGCTAGTTGCGGGCCGCACGAATTTGCGTTCGCGCGTACATTGGCTTTGGTTTAATCAGCTGATATGAATTCAGTAATTCCATTGCTGGTTTTATGTTTCAGTATTTTCATGATTTTTTTATGAAATTATCATTTCATTTAGCTGTACTAACATGATAGAGAATGAATAAAGCTAATAAAACGTTGTGAAAAGATGATTTTTCATTCATCAGGATCGATTTTATATTCCACCCATCATCAAAGGTGTACTTCGTACTGTCGTCTGTCTTAGTTTTCGGGAGTGTTCCAAAAATACCCTGTATATGTATGTATTTGCACTTGTATGCAATACCATTTTATTTTATTTTTTAGTTTATTTGTTGAACTGGAATAAACGCATAACAATTAATTTTCTTTTAGTTTCCTACAATGTTTCCTTACAAGTAATTCATAAGGCACATCACCCGTCCCGACTAACGAATCTGAACGAAACCTTATTATTATGTCACAATTACATTTTAATAATATTTTTATGAATATTTTAAAAGATTATGTAAAATATAAAAATATACATTTATTATTAAAGAATAATTATTACATTTTATTTACAAATATGTTTGTTAGATTAAATAAGAACATTTTATATTAAATTTACTTAAACATTTTATGAAATTAGATCAAAATAATAATAATAACTACTACTCGATATAATTAAGATAATACTACTAATACTCGATATAATTAACCATACAATCTAAATAAACAATTATTACATACTTATAATTCTACCTACGTATACCTAATCTATGATGACAAAAACTGACCGCGCAGGCACAATGCGCTTATATCAACTGCGCATGCGCGACTCTACTAGCTACCGCGCATGCGATAAGACATAGAGTAGCGCACATTTTTTGTTTGGAATAGCCTCTCTAGTACGTAGTACATATAACTCAGTGGATATAATCAATGCATAAAGCAAATGGTGCAGAACAATTTTGCTTGGATTATGCTACTGAAAATAACTTAGATTTGCTATTTGGCCTAAATTCAAAAAGGTGTCAGATGTCTGGTATCTCAATGGAGGTCTTAAGGGAAATGAAGGAAACTGAAGATGGGTCAGATAAATGTATGGAATATAGACATTGGGTAAATAAGTTGAATGTTGGTGTTCATAGATGCTCTTGAAGAAGTTTGCGCTTGAATAAACCATTAATGAGCCACAAGATTCTCATCCATGTCACCTTGCAGAGAATGCATTATTAAAACTACTAAAATAACTGGATCCTCCTTCATATCATCAGCCCGTGAAGGCCACTGCTGACCATGGGCCTCTCTCTTCGTAGGGAGGGTTTGCTCGAATGGGCATGCCTGGCAAGTAGAAGTAGAAGAACTGAATATTTACTCCTACTGTGAATGTTGTTATTTAATAATTGTATTACAAACATATATTAAATAATAATAATATTAATGTATTGTATATAGTACCTAATATTTTAATTACTAGGAAACTCCAAATATGAAAACGTATACATACTGTGGCAAATGAAATATATTTTGTATTTTTTGTTCTAGCACGTCTTTTTACTGTATATGTGGATTCCGCTGATGTGAAGCTCATGATAAACTTTTTAGTTTCAACACTGCTTAGCACTGCAGTGTTGGTAACTGCATTAATATATCAATATAAATATCCGGCAGTACAAAAAAGACAAAATAGAAGAAAGTCTTCATGCAAGAATCATGAACATGCTGATTAGGAAAACAAATTGTTGCTTCATATATATTTTTTATTAATGATATTCCAGTTCATCATAATTAGTTGAATAGAGTAAACTTATTCTCGTATTAATGAATTCAGCTATGTAGCTCAATTGTAAAATGGATTCCTATATAAGCAACCTGATCTGATGATAGTTAAAGTAAATTTTTAATAAAATTTATTAGCAATTTTCGCTATTCTATATTTTTTGATATTTTTAACTTCTAGTCAAACGAAAATTTATAATTGCGCTTATTTGGTTAGTATAAACCTAAAATTTTTATATTTGTTTGAATTTTGAAAATTTATTGGTTTACATGAAAATATTAGAATTTAAATTCTTGAATAATTCCGTTATATAATATTATTCTTTTATATAATATTAAGTATTCTTTTATATAATAATAACGAACTTTTATAATGATTTACGTTACAAAAAATTAAAAAATTATACTTTGATTTAAACCTAAAAGGAAAGATATGAATGGCGTTAACCTGCAAAAAGTGGACCACGTAAACTACGTCTAGCTGTTGCAGTCGCACTAATAAATAATGTCATTTGTAGCCGGTCGTCACTATTGTCGCTTACACATGTGTGTACGCTGTTCTCGAAAAAAATACTTAGAATTATTTTTATTAATTATAAGTATTTTTTTTTACATTGACATGCCTTCAGACAAAATAAAAGAACATATCTAATATAACTTAAATACATAAAACTTATTTTTTAAATTTTTATAAGCCATGTTATTGATGAAGCAGAATAGAGTAAAACGATCGCAGTGTTATTTTTGATGTTGCACGCCTCATAGTGCTAGTGCTCGACTCTCGACATGCCGCTGCTATGTGATGATTTTGCAATATAAAGTTGTTAGTATGTCTCAATTAAGAAACTAAATCTTTGTTGAAGAACTGGATGTTTTGAAAGCTAGATATATTAAATTGTAAAGTCAGCGTATTTTTTATTAATTTATTTAATTATATTTATAAAAATGTAGGTAAAAATTTATTAGTACGGCTGTCGGTTAGTCTGTCTACTTGTTTGTCTTCACGTTTCGGAAAAATATACGCAACGAAATGAAATAAATTTTTCTGAATAAGTTTCCATTCATCCTCAGGATGATCTATATTAGAGGTTGTTGTTAACTGACTAATAGATGTTTAAAAGATATTTTTTTTTCATCAAAATTAGATTTGATGAAAAAAAAACGCTCATGAGGCGTGCACTGTTGGATTGTTCAAACTATTTTCTTAATCTATGTGCACTATGCGTAGTACACGTAATCAAGTTTTCGTTTTTAATATTCGAGCGAACTGTATCTTTTCCTTTTGGTTTACATCAATGAACGTAGGTAAATATTAAATAGTGATGCGCAATAATGTACGCGTAATATAAAAGACATTTTATTAATAAGTACAAATTATATTCCCGCTGTATTGCTAGCACAATTGTAGAATAAAAGGTACATAGAATTAGTGTTATTTATAATTTGTAATCAATTAACAGAATAGGTTACTAAAACATTCTTGTACTTGCACCTTATTTCTTTCTACTGCTTCTTTGGTCTAGTGGTTGTAAGCGCGACTGATGATCTTGAAGTCCCGGGTTCGGATCCCGGGTGGGGTCTAAATCTGTTATTGGGTTTTTCTGACAAGAAATTTTCAGTAGCGGCCCCTCGGGATGTTGCCGGTGTTACAGCCCCGTAGCTCGGAAAGAACGTAATGCTGTTGGTCTTGTTCCTGATCTCCCCCGGTCGTGTCGGATTACCGTCCTGCACAAATGGCTAGTCTTCGTTGAGGCTAACCGCCGTGACCGAAATTCGGTCTGGAGGACATTATTATTCCTTTCTAGTCGAATTAACTTCCTAAGCACCTACATTGTATGATCTCAAGCATTGTCTGATCATGTTAACTCGAAATAATGTAACTTTATCTAATTTATTGCATTGTTCTTTAAATAAATTATTAGGTATTAAATTTATAGCTCTAATTTTTATAGCTTAAATGTACAAGTTCAAGTAGCCATATTTAACAACAAATGTATAATGTTGATGATGGTTATGCTTATTATTTTTTTAAATGATATGGCTATTTAATTTATTACGTCTACTGTTGTAATCAATTTGAAATTTAATTGTACCAATCTGTTGTGAAAATAGAATATTTTTATTCAATATATTATATTGTTAAATTATTGAATATTTTTTAATTTACCAATGACACGAATACAATTAAAATTGGCCTATATAAGAAACGTCAAATAATGAACGCAAGATAAACTTGCCTTATAGGCACTGTAAAGTCATACAACCATACAGTGCAAACGAAAAGTTGGCTTATTATTCCTTTCAGCAAAATGTTTTTGCACGAAATGGTGTTATTTTTTTTTTTAATAATATAAGCGCCAATACTACTATTCCATCTGATAGTAAGTGGTGATGCAGCCGAAGACTTCAAAGCACACTGACATAGTTTCACAAAAGCCTATTACTCAGTCTTGTTTAGAACCCATCATTATTAAATGAAAAGATTTATGCTGGCAAATTAAGGTTCGCTACTGTTTAATTGTGTCGGGGATCGAAAAGCTTTTAGCCAGTTGAAAAAGTGAAGAACTCCAAAGGTTTCGTTTAAAATTAGAAATTCTTTTATGGAGTGTAATGCAAACCAATGTTTTTTATAATGATGCAAATTAATATTTTGTAAATCTATTCTTAATGGAAATAACGTGTGTCCGTCAACTAGTGCAATGTTCATGATTGTTTGTGTAAAACCCTTTGCCTAATCATGAACATAATGACCAATAAAGGAATTATTATTATACAAATTAAATATTATACATATTGAAAGATTTCTTCGTTAAATTATCTACTTATCTATTTCAGTTCTATTATTTTCGTGAATCATTTATTCATCGTTGTATTGGAATTCTGTCCGTATCTAGATCTTAAGATTTTAGGACTGATGCAACAAAAATACATGAATTTTTGATTTAATAATAATAATATAAATGGCAGTCAATGCTTAATCGCCCTTTATTAAAGTTCAATGAACAAATATAGAAATTAATAAAACAAGACAAAAACAAAAAATATACTATTCGTGATGGGTGTCTGTATGTTACGTTTATTATTTTTAACCATTTGATTTACAACCTTGTAACTGTTAAAGAATAAGGGTGACAAATGAGCACACAGCCTACCTAATGGTAAGGCGATGCTGTGTCCCAAAAACATCTACATCCATCCTTAATTAAGAATCAAAATGCAATGGCGTTGTGAACTCTTAAGAACAAAGATGGAATGCCCCGTATCTAGTAAAAAGAGTACGGTATGCACTCACCAAACGAAATACAACAGCATTCACGCTGGTATTCTGTGAGGGTGTGGTCGCTCCACGCTAAAAAAAAACTAGTCAATAATATTTATTGTGGTCTAAGGCTACTGCCACCCTTGGACACCTACAATCCACTTTGAAACAAGAAATGACACAGATAAGTTGTGAAATAGAATTTTAAAACTACATTTACGCTACTACGGGACTTACTTACGGGACTAAAATGAAAGTAGGTTCAGTTTTGTAACTATCAGTTTATAGATATGAAAAGACACTTAAATCTAAATAAATAATGTTGAACCTATGTACAGTCTCTTGACCATTAAGCATGATTAGTATGATCCAACATACGAAATTTTTGCAAAATCTTGTGAGCCGGAGAAGAGTTGCCACACGCTGATGATGGAATCTGCAAAACTTTTTTCTCTTTAATGCTAACATTTGCACGCCGTTTTCTTTTTGAAATTATATTTTCTTTTGATGTGTTTTGGTTTCTAGTTATTAATAGACGAGAACAAATCTTTCTAGGAGAGCTTTCGAAAGAAGATGACAGTTCTTGTACGGGCGAAGAAATATTAGAACCGTGTCGCGGTGAACTGACATACGACGGTTCACATCTGTATACATCATGACCTGTATCTGTTAATATACTTTTAACTTCGGGTAGCGCTGGCAGTCCTTCTGGCTCACTTGACGTAGAATTGTCCAGATTTGACAGATTCTTTTGAAATGCTATTATTCCTTCAGGCTCTTGTGCTGCAAAGCTGGACTTACTTGCAAGATACCTACCTTTTCGTCTTGCTCTAGCTTTGGCAATGTCAGCGGCTTTGGTAGATTCAAATAAATGAATATTCTGATCTATATATTTGCAAACTGCTTCCGCTTCTTCTTGTGGTGAAAGATGAGCATCTCGAAAAAAACCATAGCCATTGCGTAAATCATTTATTCCTTCTATAATCAGCCACGTTAAAGTTGCTATCACTAAAGCAATAGTTGTGAAAACAGCAACAACCGTAGTTATGTCTGGCTCTGTTAGTTTATATTGAATCTCTCCAATTACTCCATATGTCACTACATTGCGTGTCAGCTTATTTGTGTGCGCACGACAAGTATAAAAACCTCGATGATTATTTTCAGCTGTTGTAATAAGTTTAAGAACTCTGCCATCGTCAAGGGTTTTGACAGCTTTACCTTTTAAATCACTATTCACAGCGGTATCTAGAAAAAACCACCAGGCCTTATTCGGTGTTCTTTTTGTTCTGGCGTGAAGACAAGTTAAATTGAAACTATTACTTGCACTCCAAACAGTCTCATAATAGAAACCAGAAATACTCGCTGTTCTTGACGATAATATCATTATATTGTCCTTGTTGCGCTCGATTCCAAAGCTGTGTATATCCAATAGCTTGCCGTTGACACTTAACGCCGCTATTATTCCAGCAAAAGATCCAAAATCTTCGGGCATTTCATTTTTAAATTCATACGGTACACTTCCAATATAAAACTCATCATAACATAGAACACAATTAGAGCAATTTACAATAATGCTTGTATTATTGCTTTCTCGTAACTCATTCTTTAATAAGTATTTCTCTAATGGAAAAAATCTGTTTAATTCACGTCTATTTCTGGAGTTTCTGTCCATTAACAAAACGTGAAGTCGTT